AAAATTTTTTACTACTGAAAAGAAACGTGTGGAAGAAGAACAGAAGCAAAGAAGCTCCGACTAAGATGTCTTGGTCCTCAGAACATGACAAGCAGCAAGTTGGCACCTTATCTTATTACTTAGTTGCTAGTTATTGCCATTAAAAAAAAAAAAAAAAAGAGTTAAAATCGTTGCTAGTCTGAGACGCATCCAATATTAGTCCGAATTGGGTGATCAAATCTGCTTTGTCCTCTTACGCAGTTGAACAGCTGGAGAATTTGGCCTTTTTATTGCAGCAGTTGTTCTGGTGGCCGATGCTTTTTATAACGCACTTTTAGTATCATTTGCATGTGATACTTTTTGTGCTGATGTATCACATATCTGTCATTCGGATCCGTATCAACAATGAATTTTAGTTAAGACACGAGCAAGAAGTTTTGAAGAAATACGTGCCGGCGATCAAAGCTCGGAGTCAAATGAGAAAGCAACAAAATAAAATAGGTTCTCTCTTCCGCGCAGATTAACCACCTCTTGTTTATTTTAACAAAAAAGCAAAGACAAGGAAAATTTAACATCCTATCAGTTATAATCATAAAAGACTATCCGCGGTCCGCGGAAATGGAGACCTTTCTCCTGCGTGAGGGCCGGGGCGATAAACTAATTTAATTTTTTTTTTTTTAATGAAATTGTATACAGATCATGGAACTGGAGGAGGGAAGGGAGTTGTTACAGAAAACTCACGGGTTTGACAGAAACAGGAATTGGCTTAATGTGGTGAAGCGGCGATCGGTGCAAATATCCGCAAGAGAGAAGACGATGAATCGAATCAAATCATAATCATGGGTGAGCGAGAGGATATGAATGTAGTACTGGTACTACTGTAAATAGGAGCATCTTTTCGTCTAAGCAATGTAAAATAGAGCGCCTTCAATATTAACTGGCAGATGCGGCAGTGGGCATTGGACCGTTGTACATTAAATACACCAACTTTCTGTATTTTTGTGACTGCAGGGGGAAGCAAACCGAAGCGCAGATGCAATCAATGGCAAATCTGGGAGGTGCCCAAGAAGAGGACGGCTTTCGTATTTTTTTCACTTTTGTCCTCCCCGGATATCCCCCCTCTAATCAATGGCATTTGTTACCCAAGAATGATGGCTCCTGTAAACTATTTGCCATGTAATGTCCTTTATTGCCACAAAACAAATACACCAACTTCGGTAGCGTGGCAACTGGCCAACTTCGCCTGTTTGTTTATTTTAAGGTTAAAACCAAAAAAGCTCCCTGTGTTATACCTAATACACAGAAAAACTCCTCATGATTTCAAAACATACAAATTGACACCTCATGTTTTGAACTAAATTGTAAACTAACGAAATCTGGTAAACTTAACGGAAAATTTAACAGAATCCGATAAACTTAACGGAATCTGATAAGTTTAACAGTTGAGACCGTCATTTTCGTTAAATTTAACGAATTCTGTTAGTTTACAATTGAGTTCAAAACATGAGATGTCATTTTGTATGTTTTGAAATCACGGAAAATTTTTCTGTGTATTAAGTATATCACATGGGACTTTTTATTTTTAACCCCTTTTTATAATTTTATATACACTAACCCTCTGAAAATAATCCAAAGTTTTTAATATACGCACCCCAAAAAATTAAAAAACACATAAGTCTTCTATTTCTTTCCCTTTTTTCTTTCACTTCAACCCACCACAGCCGACGGGGGTGCATTGCCAATGCACGCCAACCTCTTTTTTTTTTTTTCCTCCCTCTCTCCCTTCTCCTCCTCTCCGTCTCCCCTCCACTCCTCTCCTTCCTCTCCCTTCCCCCACCTCCTTTCCCCTCTTCCTTCCTTTTTGGTCACATGACCAAAGAAGAAGGGGGAGAAAAAAGAAGAGAAAAAAGGGGAAGAGGAGAGGGAGGGAGGATGAAATAGGCCAAAAAAAAGAGGGATAAGGTGGGTGGTGGCAATTGACGGTGGATAGAGAGGGAGGAAAAAAGAAGGAAGAATAAAGTAAAAATAAAAGGAAAAATAAATTTTTTCCTCAAACCCTCAAGCCTACAAAAAAAAAATTTACAATTTTTACAATAAATTATAATAAAATTTTATACAAACACCCAAAATATTCCCCATCCAAATGGATTTATTTTCTGCCTCAAACAAGCCCACCTCACTGCAACTTTAACGAGTCCTTCAACTCAAAGTACAGAATGCTTTTTTTTTTTTTTTTTCAAATAAATACACACATACTCTCTCTCTCTCTCTCTCTCTCTGGGAGTGGTAAGTGTGCGGCCGTATTTTCTACTCCAAATCTGAGAAACCACAAGCCAAGCCACACAATGTACTCTTCTATTTCATCCCACAAACTACGCGTACAAATATTGCAGTTTACGCTACAATGTAACTCCAGAGAAGTTTTCCTCTAATTATTACCGCCATAGGAATATAGGATACACAAGTTAAAGCCGTTAACTTAAAGTCTTTTCTTTTCTTCGACCTAATTAAATTTTCTTTTCTTTTTTGGGGGTACCAAGTGTAACTAGAGGTGGGAGAAATAAGGCAAAGGGAATTCGAACTCCATCACCTTAATCCTAGTAGGATTAAGGTGTTTCTTAGTGATAATTGAGGTAAGAAAAACTCAACGAAAGAACAAAAAGCTTCACTGTCAAGTAGCTTTGTCAAGATGAATCAAAACATATTTTGAGAAAGATAATAGACTACCTAAATTCAATGGTTGATTCTTGATCAATATGATATAGTCAAAATAGATAAATGAAGGCCTCGCAATTCTATTGATATTATATTTAATATGGAATTAGTGAATTTCATAATTTTATTTAGAGCATTTTTATTGGTCAAAAGACGATTTGTTAGTAGTAGCTGCGTTCCTGGCCCTCAATGACGAGCGTTTTTTTTTTGTCAATTGTCATGATTACACTTGCATTTACTATTCATCATGGGAGCGTTTTTAACATATGAATCTAAGAAAATTCACGTTAAATAACAACTTGATGATAGACAAGATTTGAACATTTAATCTCCCATTCCATAAAGGGATGTGGTGGCCAATTATTTTAGAGCTAGTTGGTTACAATGACGAGCATTAGCATTGGCAATTATTAGCAAGCATGTAAATGAGCGGGGAATAAAATTGCTGAAAATTTTTCCTCTACACTTTTGATTAGGGAAAGTGATTGTGACAAGTGATAACGACTCCGAGGGATGACAAGTGATTGTGACAAGGGATAACTATACTCCGAGGGATGCCGTCCTATAATGGAAGAGAATTTATGTCCCAAACTTTTGTTTGGTAAAACTAAAGCCTATAATTTGAATTCTAAAATCTGAAAATTAAATGTTGAAAGTATTAAGTTGCTAAGTTAATAAAGTTATATATGTTTGAAAATTAATTAAATTGTACACTATATTGAAATATTGTACAAATATTATATTTTCGTCTTTTTAAAATTTTGTCTTTATTTGTGTATCCGAAGAGAAAGAAAAGTATTTTATGTGAGAAAAATAATTAAATAATTGATAGATAGTACTTAAGTGTGTGTGTGTGTGTCGAGCGGATGAGAGCAAAATGTACTTTGTGTAAGAGTATATATGAAAGTGTGTTACATGCGTGAGAAGTGTAATATATATGATCAAATTAGAAAATTCAATAAAAAAAATTTAACTCAAAATTTTTGTATACAAATTGTGTTTAATATATTAAGTGGCTAGAGATTTCAGTTTTCAAACATGATGAGTTCAAAAGTTTTGAATGAAATAGATACCATTTTCATTGCTATATTTTGAAGTTTTTGTAAAAAAATATATTATAACGATTTGATATATTTAAAATAAAAAGATAACCAAAAAACTTGTTCGTGAAAAAGGTGAAATTTTTTTGAAGAAAAATGACATTAAGTTGAATTACCAAGCAGGCCCTGAGTGCCTTAGCGATTGCTGAAGATGTTGATTGAGAAAGTAACTCTTTTTTTTTTTCTCCCTTTTGGTGGATGAAAATGACTCTTGTAGTCCTCATCATTTTGCCTACGATAATAGGCCCATTGGTGACTCTCATCCTGTTTTACACAATAACACTGACAAAAATAAATGCTTAATTTTGTTTCTTCCTTCCTTAGCAGGGAGTACACATTTCGTTTCTTTCTGACTTATTAATATATTATTTTGTTGGGCCAAAGCATTAGACATCTTGTGTTTGTTCATTTCGGAGGCCAGGAAAGTAACAGCCTGGTCCACACATTTCGTTTGGGTCGTGCAAGAAAATTTGCATTAAGTACGGATCACCACTCCTTTTTCTTCTTACTTTTTTCGGGCCTGACGGATCACACTTGGGATCCTCGGTGATATGTTTTCTATGTCAATTCAATGTCACCTATAGTATTACGTCAAGTGTCTTGTTATTATTTACACTTTAATTTTCTAATAATTCAACTTGATTTGGTTTAACACAAGTGTAAATAATAATATGATACTTGACGTAATACTATATGTGACATTGAATTGGCATAGAAAACATGCCACCGAGGATCTCAAGTGGACGGATCACTATAATTGATCAATTCGCTAGTACACAAGTGGAAATATATTAATTAGAAACCTCCACGTAAATATCCTAAAGTGGAAATTGAACTGTTGTAGCTGGGTGTGAGACATATAGTGACGCTCGGTATGCGAGGTTAGCCTAGGGCGCTACTGTACTAGTTTTTGTCGGGTTCTTTGTTAGCTAGACACCTGTCAACCAATCATCCAGCCACTTAAAGTTCTTTCGCAAGCAAAAGAAAAGTTCTTTCTCTAAATCGGGCCAGGGAGAACCATTCATCAAGATAAAACCACGGGCATATTTTGCCGGATCATTAATATTCATCAAGATATCTGCCGCCAAAAGCCAAAATGTCTAACAGCAACAAAAGGGGGCCTTTGGTAACAAAACAAATTTAGAGGATAAAATCATCGGAAGAGTTCCACCCCCTTCCCTTTTGGAACTTCTCAAAGAGAAGAGGTGACAGAGGGTATCAAAGTTCAGAGCTTCAAATGTTATTAAACTGACAACCCAAAACAACCAAAGTTGTTTCATTCACTCGAACACACTAAGCACAACGCGCAAGCAGTCACCTTCATGCATCAGATCAAAAGCTTTGCTTATCTCCTTAAGCGTCAAATTGTGGGTGACGTACTCGTCTACTTTGATCTCCTGCGATATGAAGAAACAGTAAGCAGGACAAAAAAGCAACAATAAAAAGCTCTGGCAACGTGCTATGCAGATTCTGGAGAACCAACCTTCTTCATATACTTGTCTACAAGCCAAGGTACTTGGGAACGACTTTTGAAACCACCAAATGCTGTTCCCTTCCATACACGACCAATCACAAGCTGAAACGGACGAGTGGATATCTCTTGACCAGATGCTGCAACTTCGACAACTTCTGTTTTGACATCCCTAGGTACTCACAAGTGATACCGTCTTCTCAGTGGCAATGGCCGAGACATATTCACTTCTTGGTGTCGATGCAAAAGACATCATCACACTAGAGAAATATCTGCAGGATTACTTCGCAAACATACTAAAGAAGCTGAAAGGCATTAAAGCACAGTCGAAGCAAACTGACATTTACCATCAACCCTTACGATGACACTCCTTTGACCGGGAACTTCTTTGTTTGCGGCTTTGTTCAAGGTAGCTTTTGCAAGTTCAGTCTCCTCTTGCATTCCTTTCGCAAATTTGTATCCCCCCCGGCGGGTATATCCGCTGGCAATGGCATGTTAAGGGCTGCCTTCTGGTGGCAAGTTCAAAGGGACTCTTTTCTGTAGCCTCGCTCCTCTGGATGTTATAAGCAAATTGGGCAGTGCTTACTAGACAACATTGCAGGGATTCTCTCTCCTTCTCTATTATAAATGAGGGTAGTTTAGGTATTCGACCTGCTGCCGATAACTTAGCCGATTCAGAAGGTAATTTTCATTTTAATTATGAAGTTTAGAATGTTTATGTGGAGGTTTCTAAACAATAGGGGGTAAGGTGTTTTTTCGCAAAATCATAAGGGTTCCTCGTATTTTACCCTAGTCCCATTCTTATTAGTAGGATTCACCAAACTGCATGAGGTTGATTAAATGATCTGACTTAGCTGAAAAGACCAGGGAGAGGCCACAACACCAGCTTCAGTTAGTTCCGTTTTCCCCCTCAGTTCATCTGAATGCACGGAGAATGAAATCGGAATCTCAGGGGTACAGAAACCTTCCATAGCTAGCCAGAAAATGGCAATACCTCAAAGGTTGAATTATAGATAACTTTCCAGTTTTATGTGCTTCCTCGGTCGTGACAACCGTTTAGCTTTCGTGACGGTTTGAGTCTCATTCCGTTCTATTCTCTCTGAGTGGATTTGTGCAGCAACCAGCTAGATTTACTGATTATAGAGGTGAAGCTTGTTATGACATGGATTGCGGGGAAATGAAGAATCACCAATTTAATATTTAGGCATAAAGAGATCAAGATGGATGTGGGATGATGTTTTTTGGGGTACAGCAGGAAAACAATCGTTCGTTCTTTGGAAAATCTGAACTCTAGGGGGTCAAATATGTACATTGGTTCTACACCTATACACTGTACAATGGTGGATGTTACCGTGTTAGTGATTCTGATTTTCAGAATCGCACAATCTAATAATGAGCAAAGAATTAGGCCAAAAAAATCTATGGAAAGAAAATTCCAGTATAGGCGCCTTCTGCCAATTTCCGGTAAAAAAATAACAGAGAATCACGATAACCATTTTTTTATCTCCTAAGAGGGCTTTCTTGAATTTCCTTGGGCGTCTCGGAGTATTCTCTCTCCTGTGTGTATGGCTGGTAACCATTAGCGGTTGACAGATGACCAGAGCCACTACTACTGGCAGATCTCTGGATATCATCAATATCAGCAGTAAGAGGAATTGGACGTTCAGGTACTGATGGAACAGGCACATCGTCAGTGTCCAACATCTTCACAACCTGGTCCATGGTTGGTCGGGCATACAATTGCGGATGTGAGCAAAGAACAGCAATCAGCACATATTTCTCCAACACTTCTGGACGACCCATTTCAGCCATACCATCTTCTATAACATCTAGCGCTCTACCATTCCTCACCAACGACCAAGCCCAATCAGTGACAACAACAGGCTGGCCATCGTTAGTTGCTATAATGGCTTTCTTCCCACTCAAAAGCTCAAGAAGCACAACCCCGAAGCTATATACATCACTCCTCTCAGTTAGCTGCCCGTATAAAGCATACTCAGGTGCCACATATCCCATGGTGCCGGCCACTCTAGTGCTCAAGTGAGTCATTCCCTCCGGGGTAAACTTAGCCAATCCGAAATCTGCCACCTTAGGCTCAAAGGTTTCATCTAAAAGTATATTACTTGCTTTGATGTCCCTGTGAATTATGGCAGGTTGTGCACCGTAATGCAAATAGGCCAAGCCCTTCGCCGTCCCAAGTGCAATCTTTTGACGAGTTGGCCAACTGAGCTTGTTCTCATTCAATCCAAATAGATGGTCGTGAAGGCTCCCATTCATAATCAGATCGCACACAATAATCCTCTGGTGACCCTCATAAGGAGCGGTAGCCACGCAATACCCTCTCAAAGCTACGAGATTGACATGCCTAATGCTGGCAATGACCTCAACCTCGTGCGTGAAAGTGGCATCCCCGAAAGCAGAACAATTCTTGAACCTCTTCAATGCCGCTTCAGAGCCATCAGGCAACACACCCTTGTACACGTTCCCATACCCTCCTCTTCCAATTATGTTCTCCCTCGAAAAATTGTTGGTGGCAGCCTTAATTTCGTCAAGTGTGAACCTAACTAAATTAGTGCTCCCACTTATTGAATCCAACCCAGAAGCGGCGGGGCCAGAACCTGAGTTTGCCTGGCTTAATTTCCATCTTTCGCTGGCTTTTATTTTCCTTTTCCTTCTTTGACGGCAGAACCAGAGCCCGGAAAAAAGGACGACCAGAACCACCACACCTACCACCACAATCACGCTAACTTCGATCCTTTTCCGCTTATTACTGGAATTGGTGGCAGCGAAATCGAGGGAAAACAAGCATTTGGCGGTACCCTTGTCAGTGGGCCCGAATTGGTTGGCGAAGGCGGCGGCGTAAATGGAGCCGTAGGCTGTGCAGTCGGTGAGGTTACCGACAGAGGGACCGGTGAGGTAGGAGGCGAGGAGGCTGGAGAGGCTGGTGGTACACGCGGCACAAGGGGAGCCGTTCTCGAGGGACTGGTTGCAATTGGAAACAACGTCGTGTAGGGCAGATTGAGAAACGGTGGACTCGAACCGGGCGCGGGTGGTGATGCCCATGCAGCCCTCGGAGATCCAGCTAGTCTGGAAGCCGCAGGATCGGCGGATGTCCATGCTGGGGACGAATTCGTTGACTAAAGACTGGTAAGCCTGCCAGCAGGAGTCGGCGGAGCTGAGAGGAGGGAGGAAGGAGTTGGTGCGCCTGAGATAGTCGGAGAGGACGAGTCGGAGGGATTGGCGGCTGTATTGGCACTGAGTGGAGGTGTCCAAGTTGGGGCGAGTGGAACCCTGGAACAACTGGCGGAGGATATTAAAGTCGAGGGGGCAGGAGGAGGAGGCGTTGGGGTTCTGGAGGAGGGTGCGGCCGGGGAGTTGCCGGGCAAAGACGGGGAGAGAAATGAGCTGAGTTTGCAGAGACAGATGAACGATGAAGAAGAAAATCAGAGGATGCATATCAATGAATCTAGAGGACCTCTCTGAAGGGAGAGAGCGAGGAATTCTGAGGCTTTGATTGGATGATGCCCAGCAACAAAATTCAGTAGGCTAGGCGTCAATAAATGACGAGGTGTTCATTGGTGGTGGGAGATTGGGAATGAAGTAGAACTTCTTGTTGCAGTAATAATACAAACCGTATACACTTGACATTAGTAGTAATTGCCTAATTGGGGGGGTTTGGGGAGGTGATCTCTCCATTTCAGTGGGTGTCTGGGGGGTCTTTACTTCTTAGCAGCGGGGCACCCCTGTGGGGTTTCTATCCCACATCGGTTCGGGGGGGTTTGGGGTTTGAGTTTATTAAGGTCTGCGGGAGCCTTCAAAAGTTGCCGGCTTTTGAAGATTTCTCGCAGGTCAACTTTAGTAACGAAAAAGTCTGAGTTTCTCAGTCATCGGAAAAAGACATTAGTAGTAATTGCCTAATTGCTAAGATGATTTGACTTTTTTGATTTTTGGAAGTTGCAAGTCATGAATGATGATGTGTTATACTGATGATGCGATATGACTATGAGAACCTTTTTGAGGGTGGGAAATTTAGGACTCAAATCAAGAGGCGGCAGCAACAGCAGCAGCCGCCATGGGGTTTCCTTGTCTATGCACCCACCAGTACATGGTGTTGCTACTGCCCCAGTACTAGTACTATAATGCTTCTCAAAGTCTGCAACTGGGAAGGTCAGGAGAAGCTACCCCGGCAAGTGGGCAGTGGGTTCCAGGAAACCAGATAGAGAGAGAGAGACAGAGAGAGAGGTATTTTTCCAGCCCTTTCACCACCAGTTCCGATACCAGAAGAAGGTTTACTTGCTACTCTTTTTACCCTCCGTCTCTCTCTGGATCCTAGTGAGCCCCGCCACGCCACCAATGTCCTGCACAACGTACTACAGTATCACACAAGGAGTATATATATTTATATAGGGTTATTATCATTTTACCCCCTTAAACTATATCACTACTATCAGTTTATCCCCTAACGTTATCTTTTAATCACTTTACCCCCATAAATAATTCAACTCAACATGTTAAGAAATTTTGGACAAAAATACACTTTTATTTTATAGCATTATTACATTGTTATTATCACTTTATTCGTTTAGATTATTGTGATACAATCACTTTAGTTATTAACATTATTTTCTAGGCATTTTACTTCATCGTTAATCTAACTAGTATGGTCAAAAAATTTTAAATATATACCCTTTTTATATATAATTAAAAATAAAAAAGTTGGAATGGTTATTCTTCCTTTTTTTTCACTTTAAGAGATCAAAAAACATAAAACTAAAAGGGTTTTCTCAAATTTCTTTTTTTCACACTTGTTAATACTAGAAAAAGAAAAAGAGATAGAAAATAAGAACAAAGAAAATAAGATTTTGCAAAGAAAGAAAATAAAGAAAAGTATAATATTATCGTATTACATTAAAATTGTTGGGATTAGAATTGGAATTTGGTAGTAAACAGAAAAGTGAAATAATTTTAAAATAATAAAAGTATTTAATTCTTTCTTATTTGTAATTTTTTTTAAAAAAAAATGAGCTCTCTCCCTCTCCCCTTCCCCTCTCCATCTTTCTATTCTTTTTTAATATTAATAAGATTGTCAAGAATAAAGAAATTAATATTTTTACTTTTTTTATACTAAAAATGAGAAGAGCCACTCTAAATTTTTTATTATGCAAAGAGGAGGGTATTTTCTTCTAAAATTTTGTAACTTGCTAAGTTGGTTTAATGGTAGGATAAATTACCTAAAAAATAACTCTATGGGGTAAATTGATAATGAGACTATAGTTTATGGGGGTAAAGTAATAATAATTTGAAGGATTAAACATGTCTTTTCACTTTAATTAACAAATTTCGTTAAATTTGACCGTTAGTTTTGGGGGTAAAATGACTAAAAGATAACGTTAAGGGGGAAATTGATAGTAGCACCAAACGTTAAGGAGGTAAAGTGATAATAACCCTTTTTATATATTGGAGTCGACCATTTTGAATTTTGTTGTTGCCGTGCCGTTTCCATATCCATACGGACCATACCCTGAAGAAGGAAACCCCCAGCTTCAAGGGACAAAATGTCAATTGAGTACTAATCTTCCTACTCGATTGGCAGCACAAGAGTAGTTGGCCAGGAGAGTTTTAAATCTCTCCTGTAGGTTAAAGGATTCTATATTTTTGTCTAGAATTTTCTAAAAATTTTATCAGCGAGTGCAAAGACATCGATCTTGTTCGGTGAAAATTCAGTCCCTTCCGAATTTTTCATTTAGTTTCTTGGGTCCATCTATTTCTCTTAGTGTAGAATAAGATAGGAGTAGGTATAGAATAGAATTAAAAAAAAAAAAAAAAAGATTGGCAGCACTCAACTATTAGTATTTTTTTTTTTGGGTTAATTTTTGCATGTTCTGTGATGATTGTCGTGGGGCTTATTATTATTATTATTACTATAGCATATGGCAATTATTCTTACCATGCGGATTTCGTCAATCTTCGCCACTCCTTTTCTCCGTTTCCGCTTTCCAGTTGAACGTATTAGTGTTACTATTAGTATCTCATTCATAGTTGGGCAAGAGAATTTGGAGTGTACAAGGCTCACGAGGCTTGACCTTTATTGTTTGGGCCTAGCTTTCTCCTTCCGGGTTCTTTCCTTTCCTTCAAATTTTGAACCGGTTTTGGGGTGACGAAGCCCCGAACCTGCATAGAAGTTCCTCCTGAGTCCCCAATGTAAGCTGCTCTGGGTCTTGAGTTTCAAGATTCGTCTACCTCATTCAAAGCCCACGTTCTCATTAATCAAATGACGTCTGCTTACACCACACTTAAAAAAAGGCTCAAATTTTATGAAGAGTTTTTTTTTTCCCCTTTTGGGCAGACGGGACAAGGGGCCGAATAGTCATTAAAAGAACTGTTTTGAGTTATTTTGTGTAAAATGTACAAAATATATAATTTGATATGCATATGGTGTAACTCACTTTCAACAATATGTAACTATAAAATAAATTTTTGTGAGTCTCACACATGATACGAAAAATAATATATAAAATAAAATCTAGACCTTATATATATATATATTTTAAATCTTGACCATGAATCTTCAGGAACGGTTGCTTCTTACAACCGTTACTACCCCTCCTCCGTACGAAAAGACTTATTATAGTAGCAATTCATTTTAGCCGACAACAGGAGCTCTTAAGACTAACAAAAAAGTTAATTAGCCTCAATGTGGCTTCAACAACTCTCAAGGCATAGATTGAGAAAACAATAGAATTACTTTTTAGTCTCTTATCCTGATATAAAAGGATTCCGACTTCATCACTATTCTTTACGTTTTTCACGAACACATTTTTTAATCATTTTTTTTATTTCACGTACATTAAATTGTTACAGTATATTTTTGTACAAATTTTTTTTTTTTTTTTTAAAAAAAAAAGCAATCCAAACCGGCATAAATTCCCATTCGGCCGGATCCCTCAATTTTTTTTTTCTCGCCCTCGAACATTGCGGAGCCCAATATCCTTCAAAAGTAAAATTGACTTTGTCATTGCCTTGTGAATTTTATCATGGATTTGGTTATTGTCTTAATTAGATGCTGCTGCCTTTAAAATAGGCTCAATACAAGTTGGAGAAGAAGTTGAAATAATAGTAATAATCATGAGCGGAACATTTTGACATGTTATTATTAGATGATTTTTTTTTCTTCTTTTTTTTTGGGTAGCGATTGTGGTAGCCAATTTGACATGTAATTGTATTCTGTCATGAACAAGAAGGATGTGGACGCCAAAAGAGAAAAGTCAAACAAGGCAAGAAAGAACAACGAAGGACTCGGATGGTATTAAAATTTGCATAATAAAGTAGTATTATGCGGAGGGAAGTGACTAATGCCGCAAGTTAAAGTTAGTTAACCAACAAAAAATCAAAAGCTGCTCCAACTTTTGGGATTAGGAAATTAGGACACGAACCTCAGCTACTTTGTATCTACTAATATTATACTTACTGACCCAATGCAAAGTGTGGGGGATGAGTAATAAAAGTTGGATTGGCTATTGCCATCATCCTCATCATCATCATCATCTTTTAGAAAGAGGCCAATGAATAGATGGAAGATTTACAGTGGAGCCACCACCAATACCAATTCCATACCTCCACCACCAATACCAATTCCATTCCTCTTGCTTGCGTGAGATATCCGTTTTGCATCGCAATAATTATTGCAGTATGCGGTTGCATGGAGTTGAAGTTGACGTGACTATCAAGTGATTATAATCTGTAATTAAACTTCAACACACTGCTACTGGAACTGACTTAATCTTACAGCATCGTCCACGGCATCTATATCAATAACTCTCTTGAGAGTTGAGACTCCTTCCAAAAAAAAATTGCCTCCTGTGACTGCGAGTCCTTGTCATATTAATTAATTCGATTCATCCGTGTATATTTTGACGTGAAAGAAAGAGGTCCCTGCAGTCAATTTCTGGAAAATTTTTTTTTTTTTTTTTGAAAAACTCTCTTTACCAGCGACGTGAAACAAAGAAGGATAGCATGGCATCAATTTTGGACACGTAGCCAACCAGGTACGGCTGAGGAGAAGTGAAAACTGAAAAAGCCCGTGTTCCAAAATTGCGTGGACCTGACTGAGGTGTACAATTCCTCGAGAGACAAATTCGATACTTGGCTACAATGATGGATTGATATTCTTCAGGTTTGTTTCTTTCTTTTCTTCTGCGAATTCATATTTCTTGAGGCGGGTAGGTGGCGGGGGGGAGTGGGCCAAATCAAATGTGGTACATATGACTAGACGCTTGTTGTTAAAGAAAGAAAAAGAGTTGGACAGATAAGTAATAATCCACCAGCAGTAGTGTTTTATCAAATCTTTGTTAAGAAGTGGAACCGAAGCAAGCCGACATTATTAACCCGTAACTCTTATGCCTCTCAATTTCCCCCTCCTGATAAACAAAAACCAAAGACCCAAAAATAAATAAATAAATAAAATGAAGGAGAAAAATCAGTAGGATTTTCCTCCGCAATCGAAAAAGCAAAGCTGAGATAATATTGAGAAACAAAAAATAAGTACTAGTCCTGCTTGGAACTACTGAACGGCAAAAGGCAGTAAATATTCTTAGGAAGAAAAGTCGGGGTGACTTCTGAGCAGCCGAATAACCGTCAGTTGTCTTTGTCCCTGCTCCTTAATCTTCCTTGGCGAAGGATATCTCTCTCAGATTCAGACGTTATCTCTTGTTGCTTTCTTGTCGGACTCTGCTTATTATTCTGCCTTCAAATTCTGTCTGAAGAGTGCGGAGTGTTATTGTTGTTGTTCATGGGACAACTGTACGAAGCTTCAGCTGAATCTATATGGTAAGAGCCTCACACGGCAGATGCCTTTGTTTGTTTGTTTTCTTGGAATTAATAACTCTAGTTTCTTCTTTTGCAATTTGGATACCTAAATGCATGTACCGTATCCTTTGTGTCTGCGTGGAGTTGAACATGGATTTCTTCCTTTTCATAGAATGTTGAATGCCCTTTCCGAGTGTTTCTTTATGTCCACTTGAATGTTTTTTCATTCCTTCTGTTGGGTTCGTTTGAAGTTTGCCGTTCCTGTTTATGACCAATTCTATTGCTTATGAAGATGTCCTGCTGATGAGTTTGCTTCTGTCATCTTCCCATTTTTACGGGTAATGCCTTTCTGTAATAGTAATATATCCTCGCCTTTATCTAATGCTTTTTTTTGGGAATTCAATCTTCCTGGTATTCCTTTGGACTACACCGCGTTTTCATTTGCTGCTTGAGCTGATTCACACCGCAACTTCTTGTTCTTTCTCAACTGAATTCCTCCACATCGTTTGGATCCTGTATATTTGGGTGATTGGTGGTTAGTAGACTCTGCTCAGTTATCTGATTTACCATTATGATTGTAACTTCTACAATTTTTCCATGCAGTAGCATGTAGTAACTTGTTTGTTTTGTTTTGAGTAATTGACTTTGCCCTTCTCTGTCTCTGTTTTGAGTTCTGCAATTTTGTTTTCTTTTTTCTCCTACCTTTGAATTGTTTCTGTTTACATGACTATATTGATTGACTGGCATCATTGTTTTCTCTTTTTGTTCGGAATGTCGATTTTAAAGATGGAGAAACAAAAGGAGACTGTTTGTTCTCCTGATACAGTTCTTGAGGACTACTTGAGGAATTTAGAATCTGAAACAGACTCCTCGAAAGCGAGCACTTCAGACTTAGGAGCTCCAAAAGATCCAAAGCCGTCTTCTAGATGGGCCGAATTTCTGCAATTATTCAAAACCAAATCGAAAAGACACCTGTCCACCTTCCATCCCCTGAAACTGTCTAAAAGGTTTAGCAGCAGTTTGCGAGAGGAAATCATTCTAGTGCCAGATCCCATGCTTGATACTAGTTTGAATTATTTCAAGCCTCAGTGGAAGAACTTCGCTCTCTCTGACCTCCAAACCGCAACCAAGAGCTTTTCTCAGGGTCAGCATAAGTATCTGTGCAGCTCTCAAAATTTTCTAACAAACTTTTCTAACTAGAAATTTGTCTTCTTTTTGCTTCAGAATGTCTGGTTGGAAAGGGCGGTTATGCTGAAGTTTACAAAGGCAGTTTGCGAGATGGGCAGCTTGTTGCTATTAAGCGGCTGACACGAGGATCAATGGAGGAGAGAACAGGAGATTTTTTATCTGAACTTGGAATTATGGCCCATGTCAACCATCCCAACACTGCTAAATTGATTGGTTATGGGGTTGAAGGTGGATTCTACCTTGTTCTTGAGCTGTCTCCCCATGGAAGTCTAGCTTCTTTGCTTCACAGTTAGTTCATCATCTCTGCTCTGTTGCTTCTTTTTTTGGTGTCTGGCGAAGAATTTGACAACTTTGGCTTCCAATTTCCTTTCTTTTTTTTTCTTTTTTTGGCACTTAAAGAAGGGACACATTTTCGTTAAGCTGGTTTAGTAAATAGATTAGAAGCCATATCAGCTAATGGGAGAATTTGCACAAACAGGGTAATAAAACCATGTTTTCTGGTTGAGCTGCTCCAATCTGGGACTGATGATCGGGGCACATACTTGCTTATCAAAGAGTTTGTGCAAATGAGCCCTCCATCTCTTAGAAAAATCTTTGACAATTATAGCTTTCCAAGTCATATCAGCTTTAGTGGTTGTTCTAGCGTTCTGTGGTATTCTATTTTGATTTGCTGAAAGAATCACTTTGCAGGTGCCAAGGAGAAGCTTAAGTGGAATATTAGGTATAAAATTGCATTAGGGACTGCTAAAGGCCTGCTGTATCTTCATGAGAGCTGTCAACGAAGAATCATTCACAGAGATGTTAAAGCAGCAAATATATTGCTCACACAGGACTTCGACCCTCAGGTGCTCTGACATTTAACCCTTCGAGCATGCGCATTGTAGACCTGTACTCTACATATTCAGCCATTTCGATCGTTTAAGTAGACATGAATTTTGAGTTGTTGATAATTAGAGCTATAATGGAGTAATATGTCCTTTTTTTTTCTCCCTTAATGTCTTGATTGAAGAGTATAATTTTGAATTCAGATCTGTGATTTTGGGCTTGCAAAATGGTTACCAAGGCAATGGACTCACCTCACCGTGTCAAAATTTGAAGGCACATTTGGGTTTGTAGATTCAACCGCTGTCAATCTCTGTCCAGCTCATCCAACATCTATATGAACCCATCCATTTTCTTTTGTTTTTGATCTTTCTGATATCAAATATCTTGCTCCCGAATTCAGATATCTTGCTCCCGAATTCTTAATGCACGGCATAGTGGATGAAAAGACTGACGTGTTTGCCTTCGGTGTGCTGCTGCTGGAACTCATCACCGGACGTAGGGCTCTGGATTACTCGCAACAAAGCCTTGTCTTGTGGGTAATGCCGTCTTCCTCTACTGTGCATCTCTTTTAGGCGGAGGTGAGAGGGCTAATCTACAGAAGGACAGGCACTGATTTTTATTTTACTTTTGCTAGGCAAAACCACAGCTGAAGAAGAGCAGAATCAGAGAGCTGGTTGATCCTTCACTTGCTGAATACGATCCAATTGAGATGAACCTGATGGTCTTGGCTGCTTCTTTGTGCGTGCAAGAGTCTGCAATCCGACGCCCTAGAATGAGTCAGGCATGTAATATCCTGCAGCCTGCCTACTTGTTTAGGCACCCATTAAGCCGTTAAGCGTGGACAATCAATTCAATTGGCTTTCCATGGTTGCAGGTCTTGCTGCTTCTGAGAGGCAGCTGTGGTAGCTTAGAATTAGTGAGAAAGGGAAGAAAGCTATCCCATTGGAAGAGGTACTATGAAGAGCTGTTCCATGCCGAAGACTAGAACTTGACCAGGCTAGCGAGGCTCAAGTGGTATTTAGTAGGAAGAAATCTGTCAATAGTGGCTGGTTAATGCGCTTACCACTTATGCTCGGTGGATGAATCGGCATTAAATTAGTATTAGGATTGAAAGGGTCGTCCTCAAGCATTGTTAACTCTCAGGAGTTTCGAAAAGTGGAGGACTGTAGAGGCTCCATGCTTGGTGGTATATCTGTTGCCAATCAACCCCTTGAAATGGCACGCCATACTTGAGCCCGAGTAGCCGCGCCGGAGGAGGGTAGAGAGTAGAGACTAGAGAGCATCAATGAACTTCATCCGGTGTTATATGGATTGTATATTTGGTTTTGGAGCATCATATATGCTGAAGAAGGTGTTCTTGCAACGGGTAAGAGTTAGCAATGCCAATCCAAGAACCTACGGTGAGTTTTAGTAACATCTCGGCATCCGTTAAAGCTTAATCATGTAGAAGAAGATTCTGGAAGTATTTGCAGGATCATCAAATTAAGTAGTTTTTTTAGTATGCATATCATGTATGTAATCTGGACAGAAACTAGAAAACCGATGGTATACGAAGTAGAAGCATTATGTTCTCAACAATTTCACGGGCCTAGGTATTTAGGCATCCTTTGCTTTTGAAAACTGTTTTTTTTTTTTTTTACGTGTATTACCTTTTTCCCTTACTAAGTTTTCCCCCTCCGCTGCAGGAGCAATAGTCTTCTTACTGAACGTCATTAAATTTGGCTCCTCTTGAAAGATGTCTAATGCAAGAAAGCACTTATTATTCCCCGTGTTAGACCACCATTAACCTTTCAGTAATGGAGTTAGGTCTTGAGCTTATGGACGTTGAAAGAGGGAAGAGCGAAGGGGTGGTTGACTTTTCCCCAACGGGGAAAAAGAAAAAAATGGTTGTTGAGTTTCTATTATCTACGTGGTCGGCTTTCTAAATCAGCTGGGCACATGTGTAATATTTATGTAAGCTGAGTGGTTGGCGCAGTTCAACAGTTATCGTTCCCCTGATCACATAGACTGATAGACTCGTATTACCAAAGCAAGAGTCCTTAAGAATCAACTGAAGTGGCCGAAACCTTGGCCACGTGAATACGAGCTCGGGTCCGTTTGGATTAGCTGTTTTTGGGGTTGTTTTTCAAAAACAGCACTGTAGCATTTCGTTTTTCAAATACAAGTCCGTTTAGATTAGTTGTTTTTGGGGTTGTTTTTCATAAACTATATGAAAAACTTTTACTGTACATGTTTTATGGATTATTTTTAGATGTATTTTTAAAACATATTTTCGATTATTTTTATAATTTATAATTTTTATAACAATATACATTTATACATTTATAAATATTTATAAATAAATATATTTATATATTTATATAAAAATATATAAATGTATTATATTATATATAATACATAATATAAATATATTTATAAATGTATAAATTATAAATTTTATATTTTTATACTTATATACATTTATGCATTTATAATACATTTATAAATATTTATAAATAAATATATTTATATACAAATATATAAATGTATTATATATAAAAATATATAAATGTATTATATATAATATAATACATTTAAATATATTTATAAATGTATAAATGTATAAATTATAAATGAATATTATATAAATGTATTTTATAATTTATAATTTATAATTTTTATATTTTTATATTTATATACATTTATGCATTTATAATACATTTATAAATATTTATAAATATATTTTACATATATTTATAAAATAAATATATTTACATATTTATAAATAAATATATAAATGTATTATATTATATGCAATACATAATATAAATATATTTATAAATGTATAAATTAATATATTATAAATATATATTAATATTATGTATAAATGTATTAATATTATGTATTAATATATAATTAATATTATGTATATTAATATAAATGTATAAATGTATTATATTATATATAATACATTATATAAATGTATATTATAAATATACATAAATATATATATTATGTATAAATGTACATTTATATAAATGTATAATATATAAAATATATATTATGTATATATAATATATAATATATAATATATAATATTTATATAAATGTATAATTACATATTTATATTATATATAATATATATAATATATAGTATTTATATAAATATATTATAAATATATATTATGTATATATTAAATATATAATGTATAATATTTATATAAATGTATAATTACATATTTATATTATATATAATTTATATAATATATAATATTTATATAAATATATTATAAATATATATAAATATATTTTATATAAAATAAAATATTTATAATATATATAAATAAATATATATAAATTAATATAATATATATATCCTATACATAATTGAGATATACAAATTGAAATAAACATATTAAATATGTATTTGGAGTTGTTTTTGATATATTGTTTGGATATGGTGTTTTTGGAGTTGTTTTTGAAATACACATTTACTGTAGCATTTGGAATGTGAAAAACAGTTTTTCAAAAACAGACCCAAAAACAAGGAATCCAAACGGACCCGTTTTTAGTTCAAGTCTCTCCTTCCATTCATCCTTGGTAAGGAGTTCCAATAATCTATTCAACTAGTAAAGATACATATATATATATTGTATAGTTCTATATGATTTATAATTTTAATTGTATGAGTAGATTTTGTCCACATATAATTGGATATATAATACATATACAAATTTTAGATTTTAAATTCAAACTTAAATAAGACGTTGACGAATGATTGTCTTCAAACTAAATCCTTATGAATTATAACATATTAATGAGGTTAAAAGACCTTTTGCAATTTTTGAAGTCATTGATCCGAACAAAAAATGCAAAAGAAAAAATTGTTATAATTAAAAATATACTTGATATTTTTCACCTTGAAAATGCGTCAAGTAAGTTTCTAAATATATTGTTAATAAATTATTTTTCTCTTGTTTTCAAGCCATCGACTTTGACAAAAAGTAAGAACATTAAACAAAAACTTTAAACAATTTATATAATTTAATCCATTCAAAAATACTTTGTAACAAAGAAAGTCACTTTTACGTTTTCGAAAACACCTCAAATGAGTTTATAAATATAATTTTAGGCATTGTGTCTGTTTTTGATAGTTAAGTCATTAGTCTATACAAAAATTTAAAAAGTTTAAAATTTTTAAATTTGTAAAACTCCTCAAATCAGCGAAAACACTTTACAGTGAACGAAATAATTTTTTTGGCTTGAAGTACCTTATATATACTCTTAAATAGTAATCTTTTGTACCTTAAATATGGAAAGTTCAAAGTTCTTAAATTTATAAAACTTCTCAAATTAATGAAAACCCTTTATAGAGAATGAAATAAATTTTTTTGGCTTGAAGTGCCTTATATATACTCTTAAATAGTAATCTTTTGTACCTTAAATTTAGAAAGTTCAAGATTCTTAAATTTATAAAGCCTCCTCGAATTAACGAAAAGCACCTTATAGTGAGGGAAATAAATTTTTTCTGCTTGAGGCACCTTAAATATGCTCTTAAGTAATAATCATCTGTTCCTTAAAAGCACTTACTCATCTGTTCCTTAAAGGCACCATTTGATTTTCCTTTTAGGCTTTTAGTAATATATGTTTACTATTTGAAAAAATAGTAGAATAATCACAGAAGCAATTTTGGCATGAAAATATTTCCTACCTGCAAATATGAGCTTCTTAATAATATTTTTAGAGACAAGTTGGTAATGATATAGTAAAAAGTTGAAAATAAAGAAGGTAGGTGAGATTTGTCAAAATTCAGGACTAATATAGTCGCAAACCTCATAGAAGGGTTCTTGAAATTATCATATAAATAAGTATTTAAAGTTTCCTAAAATAGTGGTGTATAAAAGCATCCTACTTTTACCTTTCGCAAACAATCCGGACCTGCAAGTTTGAAGGAATCAAAGAATAAAAAAGCTAGGAAAAAGCTTTAGATAGAGCTTCCAAGCTCCAAATGCCAAAAATGCTTATATCATTGTGAATCTTATATATCGGGGAAATTTGGCGGAAGCAAAATATCAGCGGGCAAACAAGCGGCCGATATGGAACGTGGGCTGGTGGGCCTACGTTAGAAAGGCTTTTCTAATCCATCCATTTCATTCCAATATTTGACATACAAATATATATATATATATATATATATATATATATTTTTTTTTTTTTTTTTTGGGAAGACCTTACCTTCTTAAAAAACCTATTTCAACTTTATTTTTTGGATTCTCATTCTTTGAAAACCTCATTCCCACTCTATTCACCGAACACCTAAATTGTAAAGGTCAAGTTTGCCTTTTCATAGTTCTCTGCCTTTTATATACGTGTCAAATATTAGATTACTTGTGAATTAGTAACGGTTGGACTTAGGTTTTATCTCACCAACTGTTATTTTGTTGGGTTTGGATTTTATCCCACCAACCAATCCCAACAAAATAACGGTTGGTGGGATAAAATCCAAATCTAACAGTAACGTCTGTTACTTTATAGTTCTATTAATTAATAACATTTGTTCTCTTTAATAATATATTTATTTTAAAATTTTAACATCTTTTTATTTATAAAATTGGATTATATGACAACATTTGTCAACTCAAAAGAAGTAATAACATGCCAATTCATATGCACTTTAATAAATAAAGAAGGAAAAAAAACGTTGCTATACCATCCACTAAGTCACAAATATACATTTTTGTTTATAAATAGTTTTAAAGATCAAATAGAAGCAAATCAAAAGGACATATGAATTGATATGTATGCAATTTGGATATTCACTTTGGCTAAATCAGTATTCAACTATTGTAATTGTCTATTACCAAAAAGTTATTTTTATTATTATTAAGTCATAGTCATATGTTTCTAAATATAATATCTATGGAACATGTTCTTGCTTGCTAGTGTAGTTGCAAATCAAACTTTAAAAAAAAAACTAGCCATTTAGATGATACTGCCAAAAAATGAAAAAGAAATGTTTTATGTTATATTTAGGGTAATTAAGTTAATATAATAAGGGAGAAGTGATAGGTTAGGTGGTTCGAGGAGGGGGAGTGTGAGTAAGAGATTTTGAATTCGTACCTTACTACTTACACTTAAAAAAAATTAATATAATAAAATTTTCATTCCATTTTACCTTCTTAATATGATTTTGCCAAATGTTAAAAAAGAAATACACATTTATTTTGTACAAAGTGCATTAGGGATGGGTTGAATAGTTCGAGGGAAGAAGTATGAGTGAAATGTTTTGATTCGAACTCTTTCACTTATACTTAAAAAGAAAAGCCTGTATAATAAATTTTTCATTCCATTTTGCCTTCTCAATGTGATTATGCCCAATGTTGGAAAAGAAATACACATTCAATTGTGAACTTCCCTTACTTAACATTGGAATAATAAATGATCAAAACTCGACTCTTGGGTAGATCGAATTTTCAAAAATTCAATGAACCAAATTGTGCCATATCACCAAATTATATCACACTACTCGATGAAAAGATATGATACAATTTGAACCATTAGATCTTTAAAAATCGGATCCATTCAAGCTTGACCCATAATAAATAGTTTATTTTGTTGTGACTTCTATTACCTAACATTGGAATATAAATAGTTTCCATCCATTCTTGCAAAAAAAAAAAAAAGGAATTTTGATAGACCATTCCTGCGTATCCAAACAAGAGGCTATACCGCTATAGTACATGAGGAGAAGCAAGTAGAAGTATGCAATAGATTGGGAAACATTCAGAAGGTTAGCTAAGGTAAATCACAAGATCGAAAGAACAGCTATTTGGATTCATCAGAAATAGCTATCAGAGAAGGATGGAGAGTTGGAAGAAATAAATTACTGAATACTGCAATGAAGGAAATACTACTAAAAGTCATCACAATGGCTTTACCTATATATGCTATGTCCTGTTTCAAATTACCAAGAAAGCTACGTAAGGCTATTAGTTCTATGATGGTTAGATTCTGATGGGGGGAAGAAAATGGAAGGAGAAAGATGCACTGGTGCTCCTGGAGTAAATTTACCAAGGACAAAAGTAGAGGGGGATTGGGATTCAAGAACCTGCAGGATTTCAATAAGGCTCTACTGGGAAAGCAAATCTAGATACTAGTGACATGTCCTAATCTATTGATAAGCAAGATCATGAAGGCCAAGTATTATCTAAATAGTTCAATATTCTAATGCAAAGTGAGCCAAACAGCTTCATAGATATGGAAAAGCCTTATTAGTGTTAGAGAGGATATGGGGAGGGCATTTGGAGAAGAATTGGGAATTGTAAGAGAACTCGATTTTGGGAAGACAGATGGATTCCAAATAACAAAGAGGGGAAATAAACAACCAACAAGCCTCAGAACTACAGTTTACAAAAAGTGGAAGAACTGATAACAAATTTCAGATAGAATAAACACTTGATCTTCATAACTTTTAATGGGAAAGATGCTGCAGAAATACAAAAAATTTCAATTAGCCTGACAGGAAGGGAAGACTGCAATTTCTGAATAGAGAGCAATAATGATAATTATTCTGTCAAATCAGCTTATAATTTTTTGAGTAGAGGAAAGTATATTCAGCAAAAGGTGTCCAGATGGCAAGGGGAATCAAGCACCATTGGACAAAAAGAGAATGAGTGGAGGCGGATGTGGAGACTGAACATTCAAGGCAAATTGAAGAACTTTATGTGGAAATGCTTGAACAAAGCTCTTCCAGTGAAAGAACTGATATATTGTAGAACCAAAATGGGAGAGCCAATATGCCAGATTTGTGGGAAAGAAAAGGAGACAGTGGAACACTTATTTTTTTTCTGCAATCAAGCAAAGAAGTCTGGAGATTGGCCCCATTGCAATGGGATGGACTTGTAGATTATAGAGGAAATTTCAATAAATAGTAGTGTGGTCTAATGGAAGCTACAAGCAGGACTGACGGAAATCACCATCAAGCACATACTGTCAACATACTCTGACAATTGTGGAAAGTTAGGAATGAGAAGATTTTCAACAATAGATACCGTCGGCCTTTTGAAATTGTACAGAAAGCTCACCTAGAGTGGTTAGAGTACACTGAAGCTCAAAGTAGTGACAAGTGAGTGAGTATTCAAGAAACAACATCAAGGAATGAGGAAGAACAGTACAACAATGATGAAAGCAGTCTGATGAACATTGTGATGGAAGTCAGCCAGCAAGAGGAAGGAAAGCCACTAGGAATTGGTATAGTGGCTACTCAAGGCAATAATACACATGCTGTCTGGGCCATAAGGGAAAGAAGCACAGAAGATAACATGTTGGACTATGCTGCAGCGATCAAACTAACACTGTGTAAGGCTAGGGAGAAGCTCTGGCAGCAGTGAAAGTGCAAGTGTCATCTCCTCAGTTGATACGTTACTTGAGGACGAACAAAGCACAAGACATAAGACTTTTTGCTCAGCTGGAAGACATTCAAATGCTAAGATCTTTATTTATGAAATGCTCATTTAGCTTGATAGATCATCAATGTAATGATAAGTAGAAGAATCAGTATTTATGTTATTAAGGTAGTGCAATATGAGGAATATTTAAATTCTCAGTGTCTTGGGACACTTTTGTAAAACTCAAAATGGACCTTTTGCTCAAGTTGTACAGCTTGTTTTTGATATCAACAATAGTTATGACATTTTTGTAAAAAAAAAAAAAAAGAAAAAAAAGGGGAGGTTATAGTAGTACATTACAGACTTGCGAGAAGGGAACTCCATAATTCCCTGGGTGGCCTCAAGAGTTGCCGGCTTTTGAGGTTTATCTGAGATTTAGGGTTAATAATTTAATTCTGATTTTTTCGTTGAAAGAAAAAGAAACGAGTGATGAGGTTTCCGAGTGTTTTAGGAGCTAGTACACCTTTAGTAGCATAGGCCTTCCTGACCTTACCACAAGAATCCCACATCGATCAAAGGGGGGGTTGAGGGTTAGGTTATTAGTTTATTGGGTGGCCTCAAGAGTTACCGACTTTTGAGGTTTACCTGAGATTTAGGGTTAATAGTTTAATTCTGATTTCTTCGTTGAGAGAGAAAGGAACTCCATAAATTATCCAGAGGCAATAGATTAATTTATCGGGCTCCCTCATGCCTACCCCACTAGGCCTTTTATTTTAGGTTCCACCTTTAATTTCGCATATCGTCATTAACGTTAATCTCACATATTTTTAGTGGGTGTTTGGCGTGCAAAAGATCTGCTGGTTTCACATAGTTAACTTTATTGAGCAAGATCAAGAGAAAATAAATACTGCTACCTAGTTCACTCCGTACAAATAAAGTAGCGGGGCATCGAGGACTGCAGGCCAATAAAGGAAAAGCATGGAAGTAGCACAGTTGCAGAAACGATTTCTGGAGTTGATATCAACCGTTTATCAAGAGGTGAGTTGCTTTTACGGATTTTATTAATTGGATTTAACTTATTTGATCTTGAATAGAGGTTTTTCCTTTTTCATTTGATTTGGCGTTATTCGTTTGGTTGTCTTGGGGAAAAAAGGGGTTTTTGGATGATCAGTTCGTACAGCTTCAGAAACTGCAAGATGAGAGCAACCCGGATTTTGTGGTTGAAGTGGTGTCCCTCTTCTTTGAGGATTCTGAGAAGCTTCTCAACAATGTGGCGACTGCCCTGTAAGCTATCTTTACATTTCCTGATTAGTCCTTTCAAGATTATCTATGAATAGCATGTTAATAGTCTTTTATTCGGTTGATTTTTGAGTTGAGGTTTAATTTGGTTTTTTCAATGGCACAGTCAACAACCAATTGTGGATTTTAAGCAGGTCGATGCTTATGTCCACCAATTCAAGGGTAGCAGTTCTAGGTAAAAAAAAAAAAAAGAAGATACTAAAAGTTTTCCTTTTTGTTGGTTTTCTTCCCTTACTTTTAATTTTCTTAGTTCTTTACCTCCATATATGCTTCTGGCTAGCTAGTAGAATAGAACCAAAAAATACGGACCACTTCTTTGTAATTAGGTTATATTCCACGTCTTTGCTCTAGCTAATTTTGAACTCCACTAAATTGACTTCAAGATTAACATCTACTGACGCAAATTACAATGCATTTTTTGATGATTAGTCTTCTGTCGTGGAAAAATTCGAATATATGACAAGGGATTATGTCTCTTCTAACAGCATAGGTGCACAAAGAGTGAAGAATGCGTGTGGTGCTTTTAGAAATTTTTGTGAGGAAAAGAACCTGGATGGGTGAGTTTTGAATTGGCAGCTTGGCCTTGCTGTATAGTGTTGTTGAAGTGACTGAACACCTTATATGCAGGTGTTTGAAATGTCTACAACATGTGAAAAATGAATACGCTCTTGTGAAGAGGAAGCTTGAATATTTATTTATGGTAAGCGTTTGTCTTGAAGGAATTTTTATACACGAGGCTTGGTTATATTCTTCAAGCATATTTCAGTAGTAATGTTGCTTAGTGGTTAAAAATATTGAAGGCAATTTTGTCTAAAATTCAACAGCACTCTCTTTCAAATTCATTATGCTGATTACCCTCCTGTAAAAAACGAATTAAAAGAATGAATAAGATTGTTAAAGGTAGTATGCTGAAAGGGAATATAGAAAGGCAAAAGCTTTTGACATTCTCGTTTCTTTCACTCTCATTTTGCGTCATCCTTGGATATGGCTTATGTGGTTCCTCAACCACTAACGAAATGCATATTGTAACTCTTACCCACTTTACCTTTTAATGTAACTACTTGTCACCCGTAGTCATATTGAATAATCTATTCTACTATCTCTTTTGTTCAGCTGGAGCAACAAATAGTGGCAGCTGGTGGCATGATACCCGTAATTCCATAAGTACCTCCACTTAGCCTACTCGCAAAAAGGGTAAGCTGCGTTGTCATGTAATCTGGCCCCCTGGTTAGAGGTTGATAAAGAAGGTGCCCTGACTGTCAGACAGAGATAAATTGCTTCAGAAATTAGAAATTCTATCAGCAATGGATTCTGCTTTTTGCCCAAAAAAGGAAAAAAAAAAAAAAAAACTGGATTCTGCCTTCTAATGTTCCACTGAAATTTGGTTTAAGTAAGCTTTTGATGTTCCATTTTCCCTTCGTTACACTCATATCGTGCATTGATTGTTTGATCACTTGGCTAAGAGTTGCTGAGAGTTTTGTATAGTGCCAAATTACTTTTTATTAAGAAGATGATTGGCATTTTATTTGGAAATGATCATCCTGTTTGTTCTCTTAGTTTAAGACAGCATCAATTTTGATGGAGGAGATACACCTTTGCGATTAATCTTATTGAAGCAAATGTCTGGTTCAGGTGTTAGTCAATTTAAATGCTGTACTAATCTGGTTTAAGAAATTGTCATTCGACGAGTAACATAGAGGAAGGCTAAAAGAATAGCAGGTTTAACTTCTGCCGTCACCACATTCAATTTCCAGAAGATTTAACAATAAAGCCGTGTGGCATGCTGCTCTGCAGATTGCGTTTCCTACCTCCATTGCCTTTTTATGCTGCTGGCATCCTTCTATGATGGAAGCTCGGCATGGCACTTTTGTTGGTCACTTTTGTTGGTGTAGCTGGAAGTATGAACCTGGTTATGCTTTGCTTTTGTGAATTAGGCTTGCCTTAGTTCTTGCATTTTCCCTCTTTCCTCATGGGCGCTGAAGAAAGGCCTAGGACTACTATGTGAAAACAAAACCTACATCTTCTTATTGATCGCATCTTCAGAAAATGGAATGTGCCGTCCTCTGCTGGGAGCTGTTACTTTGTTGTGATAAGTCTGTCATTACATATTTCTTGGCCTGCCAGTTTGTGTTGCTCTGTTAAATTTCTATGGCATAAGTTCATTTCCTTATAGTGAAAATATACTCATTCACCCAAAAATGGCAGCTGTAAGTGGAAGCTAAATTTGCGCGGTTAGTGCCTCCCTTGATAGAAACCAGTAATTATAGTTTGTTTAGTTTTTCTAGTTTGTTTGGTTTTGTTGAATTGGAAACAAGGCTTTGGGGGAATTGCGAAAGTGACATTTTTTTAACCTTTTGTAATTGTGACGACACAGTTAACCCCTTCTTCCTGGAAGTACCCAATTAACATTTTGTAATTGTGACGACCGTTGCTTCGTCAATAAGATTGTGCCTTCTCCAAGGAGGAGATGATTCTTTCTTTTCTAGTCGGTGCGTCCAGCCTCTCGAGTAGAACGTTCCCATGTGTCCAAAGCCCGAGAGAAGCCTAAAACTGGGTCCTTTTTTTGTCAGAAGGTTAAATTCAGCACCACCGGACGTATAATGGAGAATAGGGAGGAAATCACATGCTGCTGCTGTATATCCTCCTCGGCTCTTGCTCATGGTTTTTAACCGTGAGGATTTTCAGTCCTAGAATTGTTGTCTCTTCACCATCACCATCCATCATGTTGAGATTTCTCCTCTCATAAAAATGAAAAGAATCGGAATGTTTTTTGCCTGTGGATTCTCATAGTCAAGTAGCATGCAAAGAGCTGTTCGGCAAAACAGATACTACCACTGCCACTACCACTACCACTACCACTGAGGTGAGTTGCGTTGTCCCGCTTGTATTGTACGTTACAACCAACCTCTTACGGACGGACTCCTTTGGTGCTTCATATTCTATGTATATGGATCTATTGTTGTTGGGCCCGGAAAAAGACGTTCGCTACTTGGCAAGTACACGAGGACTTGGTCCCAAGCCCCGAAGATTAAGAATAATGTGATGCTACCAGACCGCATCGCTAATTGGACCTCAATGTTAGTGTGCACGTTGCACCTCCCATGTACTACTTGCCAATCCCATTTTCGTAGAGATGGATCTCAATTGGATGCTGGGCCGTCTGCAAAAGGTAAAACCGCATGCAGCCCCGTTAATTGGGGACCCACTTTGCTCACGATCTGTAACGCTGATTACCCGCTCAAGAATGAAGAATTAACAGAGGTGATAACTCTCTGCAAAAACGGAAAAATGAAAAAAAAAAGAGGTGGTAATGGGAGGGACAGTGTGCCAAACTGTATGGCCCCGGAAATAATAGTAGCCACTTGCCACCCATTTTTGGATTAAGTTCCATTTGGATTGCAACTTTTTGGTGTATATGTATATTAGTGTAACGATTTAATGCATGCATGTAAGACAAAAAAGAAATTGTCATTCATAAGATGCGGTTCTCTACTGTGATATGTTGAAACTTTGTGCAACGGTCTTAGGAATACAGGGAGGATTCTAACCACATCAACTACAATTTTTTCCTCTTAATTATATATTCTTCTTGCTCTAGGTTGATAACCGGAGTCAATTGGGCTCCGTTTGGACAGCCATTTTTCGCTGAAAAATTACGTCGTTTTCCGTAATCACATTTTCTTATTATCTTTTTTTTTCACGTACATTAAATCGCTATAGTAATTTTTCTACAAAAAAATCAAGAAAATGCAATCCAAACATGTCCCCCCCCCCCCCCCCCAAAAAAATTCCCCAAAAAATGCAATTAATTAATCGTTCGTGTGTATTTATTTCAAAAAGTTGAGTATGCCTTAGGGAAAAGGAAACTTTGGAGGACTTTGGGTTCTTTGACTCGTGCTATTATCTATCTTATAAAGTCCAAGTCGTTACGTGAATGAGAAGAGTTAAGGCGCGTCACTCAACGGCAACGCTGCAATAAGATGAATGTTAAAGAATTGGGACCATATATCATGGGATGGCAAATCATTTGACGGATGGTTACTTCAGTACTACTAACTAAGAGTAAAGTTTGAGGTTCCCACAGGCCCCAGCTTAAGTGTAATTTGTTTTTTTCTGAGAACAGGAAAAAGATTAAAGAAGATCTAACCAATACAAAAATGTGAAAAAAATTAAAGAATAAAACATAAAACCGAAAACCAAGTCATGGCATTTTTCAATGATTTTGTGGTGACGAAACGTTTACTGCTGCTTTAAAAGTTTAATAAGGAGAAGAACATCTTTCCTCTAGACTTCCATTCGCCTGTAGACTTTTCAATTCATTCGGAACTTTCCAGAGTTGGAGAAATTAAAAAACTTTTGTTTGGCGCTTCGCCAAATAGGCACGTACTTTATCATTGAAAGCCTATTCAATTCAGTTAACATTTCCAGGGTGAGTGATTCTAATTTCTAAACTCGGAACTGGCGATTAGAAAATGTGGCCTAATTTATGACTGATTAACTTAAATGTGGGCTAATGTAGACATGCAAGTGATATTTGCACTTCGAGTTCGTAGCACTCCGTTCTAACATTTTAGTACGTGACAAAAGAATGGAGTTACAGTAAATTATTTTAGATTAAATCTTATACACACTGACTGATAGACAGTGTATACATTATCATGGTTGAATGCACGATATATATGTAAAATTTAAATTTTAAATTCAAAATTCAAATTATATGAATTTTTGTAAGCTGCGTAGCTTCGATAAAAAAAAATAAAAATTAACCTCTCACTGCACCGCACCGGTAAATACGGATAACGAAAGCGGGGCGGGGTAAGTAGGTGATCAGCAGCTGGACGAAAGAGACACCGCACCTAAGCACATAAATACACACATTCCCTGATTTTGATTCTGGGCTCAAAATCTGTACAAGACCAAACCAGAACCCCATCCAAAACTATTCATCCCTGATAGCGCAATAATTGTATCGTAGTAATGCATCGCCTTCTCCCCCAGTCCTCCCCCCCTCCATCCCCCAAAAAAAAAAAACTCAGTCCCCACACCCTGGAATTTTAGCGGAAGGATGATGAGGATAGTGGCTGCGGTCGTTGGGTTTGGTGCAATCAACAAACACGCATCTCCATACGCACCACTCCCTCCTCACTTGGCCGGCCCTCCCTCTTTGCGCATGTCTCCCATGAAAATCTTGCCATGCCTCCATATTATCCAATACATCCCATGATCCCACCCCAAGGCACACTAAAATTACTAGTACCACACTCAGTATAACGAAACAAATTTAAGAAAGAAACAGACGGCGTGTAATATTGGAGGCAACTGTAAAAAACTGTTTAATCATGACAGATCACTTGTGGTGGGGGAAGGTCAGTTTAATGAACCGATCGAAGGGCAAATACTGTCCTACGAATTCAAAGAGCTGCGGTCCATGCATGGCTGCAGGCTCCTTTTTATCCCTGCCTGCATTAAGGAAACGGCAGCTAAAAGCAAAGGTTGGCAAAATTCAAAAGGGAAGAAACCCTTTTCGATCAAGGAGCTTTCATTTCCATTGTAGTAGTAATTAATGTTTGATCTTCATCTGTATACCACTACTTGGAGTACGTGTTTGATTCTGCCGCTTTTACAACCACCTTGTTTGCTGGAGCTCATGACTACTACTTTCATTCAAATACTACTCTGTCTTTTGTCGTTCGTTTGTTGAGACTAATCAAAGATGATGATATGCATCCCGTGGACGTGGGGCGGGACCAGATGGGCATATGATTATTTATGACATCCATATGGAAGTTGGAACCAATCAGCTTTTCTATCTTCCTTGCTACTACAATTTATAACTCTTCCTTCTGGACTTGGTTGGTTCACTTTAGGGTTGAATTTCGTTTCATTTTATACCGAAACTACTGATCACAAGAACCAAAAATCCATTAATTAGCCCTTCTGATTGATTTTTTTTCTTTCTTTTTGGCTATGTGGTAATTTCTTGTCCCTTGGTTAATAATAATAGGCTGTAAGTTCGATACTAGTATACTGTTGATGATAGAAAAAGAATAGTAAAATGTTCAGTCTTTCCTTACGCTGAGGATGACCATAAATTCCGAAAAAAAGAAGAAGAAGATGTGCTCAGACAGCACATCCCACCACCATACCCAAAATTCTTTAATTTCCTGAGAATGATTAAAGGCAGAGTAAGTTTGGTCCGTAAAGCAAATGTCATTATCTAATACTAGCCGTATTAGGTGATACAAAATGATGGCAGAATTATTAAAAGTGGGGATGAACCATGAGCTATCAAGTTGATATTACTGTATCATACTGTACTAGTAGTTAGCAGTATAAGCTTTGGCCACTTTTTAGCACATTTTCCTACATTTCCGTGTCAAAAAGAAGTGCGATCTATTTTTAATTTATGATTCATTGGCGTTCTCTTTTTTCCAACTCACGAAACAATCTAACAACCCCTGTCCCCTTGCTTTTGGTTCCCAGCAACAAGGTATCAATATATCATGCCTGTATTCTTTAAAAAAATTTTTAAAATCCATTCCCCCCTGCCTCCCTAATGAATGAGAAGAGTTTTCTTTTTGGACCATCTGTCCAGTGTAGG